CAGCTCTGGTGAGCTAAAAATGTCTTAAAGTACTTGGTTAGTTATTTGCAAGGAAATGACATGAAAATAAGTAAAATTGATTCAAATATTTGTGACAGTGTGCATCTTCTCAATTAAAACAAGAGTTATCCTTCTTACAGTACCTGGCCATAAGTGAGTCATAATTATTTTATTTTTCCACTATATATTTCATTGAAAAATGCATTTTTCTAAAATACTATTGCAGTGTTATTTGTTGCTCATTTTCTATATATTCGATAAAATGCATACTATCTTTGCAAGATATATAACTGTATTCAGCGGCAGCTCACACATATTGGTCCGACCAAAATAATTCCATCATGATAAGTAGATACAACATTATTGTTCATGATAAGAGTAAAGTTGTGTATGTCATACGTTAAAGAAATCAAAAATAACGTCAAAATATCATTAGAAAGTCACTTTCCCCCCGAAATGCAAATAAAAAATATCAATATTCCTACGCTCGCTCCCTCCTCAGCCTTTTTTTTTTTTACGTGTTTGATAACAGAGAATAATTAGGTCATTCTTCGATTCATATCTTTTCACCAATGAATTGATAATACTATATCAACAATTGTATTAAGTACATGTTTATAGTCCGTTAATTATCATACAATTTGTTCTTAAAGAAAAAATTAATCATTCTGTGTGTGTATTTATAATTAAATGACGGAATTTTCAATCCCTGGCCTGCTCGTGTGTACACTTTGTAAACTGAAGGGTATGTGTGGCAAAACGAGAACTGCATGGGTTGGAGATTCGGGTTCGTGTTGAAGTTCAGCATACCATTATATATAGAACTTGAATAATGTAAGTAATTTCTGCGACAAATATATTAGTATATTTCAGTTATTTTCAAAACAAAAAAGGTTTTCATGTTTTCAGTTTAGAATTTTCCGACCGGTCCCTGATTTTCCCAACCCGGCCATTTTAAACACAAGTTGTTGCAGATGCAAATGTTAGAACAAACTATATAAAGTTCAACAGGGATTGTATAATTTTTATTAATCAGAATATTTATATGATCTAATTAAGAAAAGAAAAGTTTTGTCTAACACCGTAACTTCTCGGCAAAACAAAACGTGTTTCTCCGAGCTCGCTGGATGCGTGTGACAGCTCCATTGCACGTGTGTAGACCAAGGCTACAGGTACATGTAGGACTATGTGTACTGTTTGTTAGGAGACTAGGTGACCGTAATGCTATGGAATCACTTATATTTACAACAGTTCCATAATTAGACAGTGCAGTTTTTTTTTATTAACGTCATTATAAACACTGTTAAACATATTAAATCTAACAGTCGAATATCTTTGGATATGGGGTAACCCATATCTATTCTTGTTATGACTAAAACACCATAAAATGCAGAATTCTTTGCCGTTTCTTCATATTTATATTTCAAAATAATTTTATCTGTACTTTGTAGGCATTACAGTGGAATTATAGGTCAAGTGAAAAAAAAATTTTAAAGACTTTTAAAATTTGTTAATAAATCATAAAATTTAAGGTTAGACATTTATGTCTTGACAATTTAATAATTCAATCTGAAGGATTTGAGTATAATTTTGTTTAACATTTTTAGACAAGAAAATTGAACAATTCTGCATGATTCAGTGAAAAAATCATGGAAATTGAGCTAAAACTGACTTCACATCAAGTTTTTATACCAGGTAAACATTGGTTTTTCAATGAAATGTATAGTGTAAAAATACATTTAAGACTCACTTATGGCAATATACTGTAGCTCTTTTACAAACCAAAAAATAAATACTTGACAACCAAAATTCCTTGTATTTCATTCACAAGTTTTTTTTTTCTTTGGTCAATCTCAAGCATAACTTTGAGACCTATTTTGTTCATACTAATAGAAAAAACTTTGTTCTGCAGGTTCAAATATGTTTCATCTGACACTCGAAGCTTCTATCTGTTTTTACTAGACAGGGGATATGAAAAAATTTGTAAAATAAAAAAAAATAATTATATAAATCCTGCAAACATTTACTGCTGTTATTTACACATTGGCTTATCCTGCATGAATGCTCACTGCTGAAACAAATAGATAAACTGACAATGATGCTAAAAAATTATGGAAGAAGTGTGAACAAGTGTGTGCCGAATATGATAAATCATGATGCAAGGTCAGAAAAAGAATTTATCTGTTCATAGTTTCTCTGGCACTACTGCATCAGGTCAAACACTGCTTGATCACACAAAGGGGATATATCAACTTTTTTTTAATGATTTAATACAGAACAGTGAGTTATTCTCCTATTCAATGGGCCAACTTTGATATATACATTGTATACATATTTTGTTGATAAAATATTTCATCATTTAACTTTTTTGTGACAAATGGTTTGCCTGAAGGTTCAATGTAGTGAATGTACAGTGTACTTACTGTTCTGATGTATGGTAAATCTAGAATTTTATAATTTGGAACTCTTCGTAAAAAGTTTACAGCTACTGGGAAAAATCCACTAAAAATGTAGAAAGTTTGATTTTTATCATATTTATAAAAAAACCCTTTAATTTTGCAATTGGTATTTTTATGTAAATCAAACAATATGTATAAAACTATGAACAACTATATTTCTCTACTTATAGCAAATAAGTTAACAAATAATTCTCAGATCTGATAAACAGATACTGATTCATCTTTGTAGTTAGTCTTACCTGAACAAAAGAAAGAATCCATACATCTCTACACACATTCCAATAACTGGCCACCCTAACAACACAATCAATATACCACCAACAAAGAAACTGGTAGCTTTTAATTTATGTCTTTGGAAAAAAAATCGGAAAGTTCTCTCCAATCCGATGACAAAAGCTAGTCCACATATGAATAGTATCTGAAACAATAGAAAATACATGTTTATAATGTTAATATTGTGTGTTTTCAGCAATAAATTATTAAGCATGGTTAATGACCGTACATGGTGATATACATGTAGTGATTAGAATGTTTTATTCTTATTCCTTTAAATGATATGTCCAACAGACCAAGTTAGAATTTGTTCCATGTATTGGTAATGTAGCAAAATAAACATGGGCGATTACTGGAACTTGCATTTACTATGAAGAAAACAGAGAGTTTCCAATGTAAACATGACGTGCAAGTCTTTATATGGATCATTTTTTAGGAAAAAAGGTTTGTTTTGATTATGGTACATGTAGTTATTTTCAGTGCATCCCTTTTGTATTCTTCAAAATCACTTTGAAGCATATTCACTCTGATTAGTAAGAATAATCTAACTGTGTCTCTGCCACTCTCTGGACAAGCCCTCACAGTTAATGATTTTGAAGAATATTAAAGGGTTTGCACTAAAAATAACTACCAAATTAATCAAAACAAACCTGTTTGAGATTGTACATGCCTTTTATCCATAAAATAATCCATTTTCCAAAAAAAAATAATCAATAAACATGAAACATAAAAATCAACCAATCTTCAACATTTTTCTCGCTTCAAACTTGCCTGCTGCATTTACACGCAGATCTCTCAGGATTATTCATAGTAAATGCACTGAATTTGATTTATCACCTGTGTTAATTTTGCTACATTGTGAATACATGGAATGATTTCTTATGTAGAACCATGGCCGTAGGACAATATCACTTTAACAATTAGAATGTTCTATCTACCCTCTGATTTCCTACATTGCAATTATAAGGGATGTATTCTGTGGTGAGGGCTTGTCCCGAGAAACAGTTCAACTATAGTGAGAGTGCAATGATTTGGAAAGATTAGTATCAAGTCTGTTTGGAATATTCACTGATGGATTGTTTGGGTCTTGATAACCCATTTGGGAAATTCAATCCTGTGTTGGAGATTGGTCCAAGCCTGTTTATATGAGACCATCAAATTGGTATGTTAGTTCATTGTATATATGTATCCAATCTATAGCTGGCATAACTTTCAATTTCAGAGGAAAAGATGTAAAATTATGTCTTTAAGAAAACAAAACTTAGACTTGATTATCTTACATTTCCTATTGCCAGCAATCCTTTGTCAAACAAAAACAAAACGCCCAGAAATAGGAAGGCGATACCAAATCCCGCCAAGCCAACTCCAATTTCTGTAGAAAAAACATAAAATTATATTTTACAATGACGTAACAAAATCATATTCCTCACATTCCCAAATATTGAAATTTGTAATTTAACCACAATATTTAAAAGAGTATCATAGATCCAATAGCTCATCTACCGGTGGAGGAAATTCGAATGAAATACAAAGTAGAATTTCCCTGGGTTTAAAATAAAGGGAAAGCAACATACTTTGAAAATCTGTTACTTGATACATCTTGGATGTTTATCGATTTACGAACAAGACAAGAAACGGTTCTTGTGACATCTGGCTTAGCCAAAACTTGACTCAAGCTGCTGTCTGAGTCAGTGAGACTGTGAGTGTCTCGCTTGTTTTCGCCACGACTCGGAACTAGTTTTCCCCCTTCTAACACAAAAGAGTTAACAAAGTTGTGTAACTCGCACTTCTAATATTTCCTTCGATCCGATCACGATTTAGGAAGTGAATTCCACTACCTTGTAGAATGTGCTTTTTTCAAGAGAGAACGAAAAACTTGTTCCAAATATTTTTTACGCTAACCCTAATGTTATCAAATTTCACGACTTATTAAATATTGTAAGGATACTAATGTCGTTTTTGGACTTGCTAAATGTTGTAAAGTTATATTGTCAGTAATAAATTGTTAATAGCAAAACTACTGTGTAACAAATGTTATAACACATATAGTTTTATTTTGTATAAGCGCTACAGAAGCCTTCTATACTATAATGTTTTGAAATATACATGTGCATTGTAAATAATATTAGTGCCACTCATTCATTCATGCAAATATTTACTATACTTACCCAAATGCTTTCAAATTTTATGACTCGAAAAGTGAAAAAATATCACTAGAAGATTAAAAAAAAATCAATTTCGATCCATGAAAATTTATTGAATCCTTTTACATGCAATCTTTAAACGAAGTCACAAAGTGAATTCTTAATTCTATCTATCTATTTTTTCTTTATTTTTATCATTATCACTTTTTTTCTAAATAGAATTGAACTATGCAACGTAATAGGAAAATTGAATTTATCATATGACTGGAAAATTTACACTAATAGGTACTCCCCATCTCAAATGTTAAAAAATTATGCATCTAGTATACTTAAATGTTAATAATATAAAAATATATTTTTTCTAACAATTAAGATGGGGAGTGTATATGATTTTACATGATAAAGTTTTCGAAATTGTATCGCACGTCGAAAACTAAATCTACCTCATGATTCTGTAAATATGTAATTATTCTTCTTTTATTTTGGGGGAAAAAATCATTAGAATGTAACCCAAAAGTCTATTAAAAACAAACAAACAAACAAACTAGGGTGGCTTTCCCGACACCTTTTTTTCCGGAGGAAGGATACATATTTCATAGTCATAAAAGCTCAGTCACTTTTAAATACTTCAATCGTATTTTTTTTCAGTTCAGAATTCATTTAAAAATACTTAACATATTCATAAATAAAGTATCTCGAATTGCATTATATCCATAATTGCATTATATCCATAATGCAATGGTAATCAAAGTTGGTAATTCTTAAAAATATAATGTTCTAGAGGAGTATTAAGGTCTCATAAGAATGAATTCAAATATTAAATTTAATGATTTCTGAAACTTGTACACATGCATTTTTATATGCCCATAGGAAGAATAATGTTTTTCAGTTTGAACCAGAAAAAAATGCCTTGCAAAGAATAAATTGAAAACCATAATATGTAGCTACATCATTTTATATTTTTTGTCGTAAAATATTTATTAGAAATGTTACTGGGTTTGGGTTGGGGTTTGTCATTGCTCCCATTCAATGGCTTTACATATTTAAGGATTGTTCTTTCTATCACATATTCAATTTAGTTCTTTCTTTTAGGGGGGGGGGGTATTCACCGGTGATCAGCCAAAACACATTAACGCACCATTTATGTTCTAGACTTAAAAGTCTGACATCTAGTAGTTATAAGGGTATGATAGATCTTTAGAATATCATAAGATACGAGACTGTTTCGAAGTTGCTATGACGTAGCATTACACAAATTTTCGGTCTTGAGGCAGATCTAAATCATAAGTTAGTTTTATGAAATGGACCCAGCAATGTGCTCCACTATTCTGGCTCTAGAAGTCTACTGCAACTTAATTAAAGAAAAATTCATATTGTTAATTGAAACAGGTGAATAAAATTCAATAAGCACTGTCAAAACATATATGTAAATAACTTTCACAAAGTATTGTTAATTTCCCTCTCCTGGAATTCCATACTTTATTGGAAGGTTCTGAATTGTCCGTGATTACTTTAGAGACAAGGGGGCATTTCAAGATAGAGCTTATCAAGCTGCGGTAAATAGAGAAGAAAATTGCCACGTCTTGAATTAACATATAATGGTAGACCTCATTTGGGACTTTTTATGGTTTCCCTACGTTCGTAATTATAATAGAACTTTCAGAACAGGGAGTGGGTTAAGACTATAAGATTGGGAAGAGAATCGGAAACGTACTAAGTCTTCGTCGCGTGGATTCCATTACTTATATCGAACAACTCCATTTTTGAATGAAGACAGATCTATTTGAAATAGCTTAATACAAGGTTAAAGCCATTAATAAAACGAACTTTTTTCCTAGATTTAATTACTACAAATTTTGGTTCTATTGATCAGAGCATTTCTTCAGATCTAGACATCATTTTCATTGGCTTTTTTAAAGGCATGGCGCGTGACTTTTTCAAAGGGAATTAAAATTCACATACGACAATGTGGGTTAGTTCGCTTGCAACATTTTATTTACTAGTACATGTATGTTCCTCTCTGAAGAACGTAGAAAGCATGAACACAACTTAACGTCCAATAACTTCTTTTTGCACATCTACTATAAAGCACATGATTTCTATCGCATTTGAAAAAGAACAGTGTAACCTAAATGAAAACATGAAGGGGATTTACCATAGTTTTCTATTTTCCCCTGATGATTGTAAACATTGAATAGAAGTGGAAAAATGAATTTGAAATAAAAGAACTATATTTTTGGCGAGGCTGTGGCGAATGAAATGATCATACATGTATTTTATGCTTCTTAAATTACTACAGAATGAAACATATGGAGATAACAAAAGTATTCAAGATCAACAGTTCAGAAAAACAATACAAAATGGGAGCAGAGCAAACACGTACCTCCAAAACATCAGAGGTGGGATCAGGTGCCTTGGAGGAGTGAGCATCCCCTGCCGACAGGTCCCACCCGCCGTGTGCTCCTTGTCATGATCGGGAAATAACGGAAAAATCCATCGTCAATTCAGTGTATAAATATTGGACTAACAGTAAGATGAAAAACGTCAGTCAGCATTTGACTCAATGATAAATTGTATTTGCAGATAAGGTCAGTAGTTGTATCGACAATAGAACTTACGAATGACTTTAAACGAGACTGCTGATATTCTTGTCTCATCAACTTATTTGTCAATAATTTACCTCGTTTTAAAAATTAAACAGGCTTATTTGAGTAATTTTATTGAATAATAATGAAGCATGAGCGTACTCCTCGGTACAAAAATTTAACATCAAAAATGAAATTTCTATCTTCAAAAAAGTTCTATCAATAATTAATTGCATAATTTAAATCAGTGGTTGCGCTCTCATGCGAAATGTTAAAGATATAGCTTTAAAATGACTGATTTTAAAAACTTATTCAGGATATCTGTAAAATGACAAAATTCATGAAGTTATAATGAATTGAAAATCATATCTTTTTTAGATTGATTTCCAAACACCTATAGGACCTAAATGCATTTGATGCATTTTCATCACAATTTAAGGAGTTTTACTTAAAAAAAAATCACAGGGCCAAAAAAAAAATGCCCCAAGAGAACTTTGTTCATTCTACTTACAATGTACTAAATCTGAACCAAAGTATCTCTAAGCTAATCGTTGCCTGGTTGAATGGTAATTCCCTAACCTTGATAATTATTTCACACAATTCCAATTATTGGGTTAAGTGCCTAAGCAAGCTTTGCTTTTCACCTCTGATAAGAGAGCCTGTGTGTCAGGTAGTTCTAATAAATAATTGTTATCATTGGTTTAAAATTGCTACGTACTAATTTTCATTTTATAAAAAGCTACATGTATATTGAGTACGAGATGTTAAAAAAATGGAGCATTTGAATTTATATATTATGTAAAAAGAATGTTAGATACAGAATTGTTAATACCAAATTACTTGATAATTAATAATAAAAAGTACACTGCAACCGATGTCCCTTTATTTCCTTTTTTTTTATTTAAACGTTTTAGTCACGAAAGACGACAAAGACCATCTAATAACTTTACTGTATGACGAATGAGGTAACCGACTTATTCATCGTCATCTTTCCTTATTTCTGTATTAACTCCATAATCTACTGCATTATCCATATGGTGTTTATATATCCTAATTTATTCACTACTCAAGAGTATGCCCTGAGTCAAATCTTTTTTTTTGGCCGAGGCCGTTCATTGGTATTTATAGGGATTTCAACAACCTCATTTAAAGTCAGCATTTCCTAAATCCTGTTTCTTTTATTAAAATGACATTGATAAGAAATAAACTATCACTAACCCTGATTTTGGCTGATCTGTTTTATAACAATTTTAGATCTTTACTTTTATATTATTTTTGAACACGGAATGTTCCATCTACCTTATCAATACATAGGGCTTACGGCGGATGTGGCGGTCAAAAGGGGAAGTGTACTCCTCTAGGCACCTGATCCCACCTGTGGAATTTTCAGGGTTTCGTGTTTTAATGCAAAGTTTACAGAACTCTATTTTTTGTATTTTTTATGAGATCGATCCCTGTCCGTTATCTTCACTTTTGAATTATTTTTTAGAAGCACGGGCTACTTTCACATGGATTGTATTAACTCATGAAAGACCAGTCATAATAAAAAATCAAACAATATCTTAATTACTTATTGACTAAGGATGGCTTTAATTGCTAGAAAATGCTTTTGAAAAGTTTTCCCTGCTTTTTCACGTGCGATAGAGGATTGAGAATTCACACCCGTCGTGTACTCCTTGTCATGATCGGGGAATAATGGACAGATCCATCGAAAATTCAGTGTGTAAATAACGGCTTAATAATCAGTACGAAAAACGTTAGTCAGCGTTTGACCCAACCACAAACTGCATTTAATTGCTAACAAGGTCATTGCATCGATCACAAAACTCACGAAACAAATACTTTAACGGGACTGCCGATACTCCTGTTTCATCAACTTGTTGGTCAACAACTTGCCTACCTTAGAAACAATTCACACACAGAGCACATCCCCGCGCATCTAACCTATTGACAT